TCTTTAAGTTCATTAGTTAAAGTTTGCAAAGAGAAATTGACAAATATATTCAATTGGGAAGAATTAGTTGACTTTGTATTCCCATACAAACTTGTCCTGATTACCCAGCATGCCCTCACAACCGTGAAGGGGTCTATAGGCCATTTCCGAGTTAACTCAAGCCCTTACTTTAAACCGAGGTTAAGTGCGAAGCTTTTGATATGAAAATAATTTTTTATTCTCGTGCTAATAAAACTCATTTTCAAAAGTAAGGTTTCGCCTTTGGGCTCATTTTGAAACCCAGGAATTTTGGAGCCAGGAAGTGGCGTATTTGAATTCATGCAAAATACCGAAGGTTAACACGCCCACCCCTGTGCGCAACCATCGTTCTTTTGGGATCATCTTTACGTTATAAACTTGGCTTCTCGTCTGGCCTTTCTGCTTAAACTTAAATTGTGTCTTTTACATAGCTAAGAACAATAAGCAACTATCGCCTGTAGCTTAGGTGTCATATCGTTTCTCAGCGAAAAAATATGCGACGGCACTGAAAATATAGAAAATCATTTCATATTTATTCACTTTGACGGCGCGCGCTATCGTGTCCTTGGCCAACTTTCGAGCAAACACTGAAGAGGATTATGTGTTATTTTGTTTTCCCAAGTGTTATTGATAGATGAATCAAAAGTAGAACCTTCTACGGTTTATTCTTCTTTTGACTTGGCCTTTTTTTTTTTCACTTCGCACTGTCTTTGTATATCGGGGTCAATTAATGTTCTTCGATAGTTAACTGTGTATTTGTATGGTTACCTGTTCTTTACAGGCTGTATTGAGAGTTTTGTTTTTAGTTTTCGGTTCATCAGTGTCCTCGTGCCTGATAGCTAAAATTTATGCCTCCTAGGTACCAGTTGAACTCTGAAAGTGCAAACACTGTCTGACGTGCGCGGTCGTGCACTTTAGCACCTTTGAATGCTACGATGTAATTACGTAAGAAGTTCTATAAAGTGTAAATACAGAGCTGCAATTCTATTTTTTTGTTTAAAGACGGTAATTTGTTCAATAAAGGTCTGTTTGATTTGCAATCTGCGTAAAATAGTGTTGGATAAACTCTTTAGTAAATGACTTTTCTGATTAACTCCACCCGATCCATTCTTGGAAACCGTTTTATCCCACGAAAAATTGCTACCGTCTGAGCCTGCAAGTAAGCTCTGTCTGTCTGGGTTCTGCGAGACTATGCCCCTGTTCCGTCGCGGCAAGGGATCTAATTTCGAGTGCCTGTAGATGTGGGAAATGATTATGCCCAGTTGGCCCAGTATGGGTTCAAATTTGATAAAACTATAACAAGTGCAGTTTGCAAGTGTAGCCATTATTTCTGTTTCGTTTGATGATCGCTTTCCTCAGGTCGGAATACAAGTCACGATGATAAAGACATATAACCCTGACAAAACGTTGATTGAGAGTACTAGTGAGACACCCTACTATCCATTAATGGGGGGGGGGGGGGGGGGTCTAATCCTGTTTTTCTTTTTTTAACGAGACCATGGGCCCATTCGGCCCATTTGGTTCCCGCTCAGACACCTCTATAACAAACCAAACGAACTTTTTTTTTTTACCAACATTACGTTTTGTTTTTTTTTATTCGTTGGGTTTTTATTTTTTTTCGTTTTTGGTCGGTCGTCTTTCACCGGGTGAGATAACACGCAGAAGAAAAAAAAAAACAATCCCAGAAAATATGGTGTTGTGGGGGAGATTGGGGAACCCCCTTCCTTTCATGGGGGGGGGGGGGGGGGGGGGATCTAATCCTAGTGTTCATTTGTTCACGAGACCATGGGACCATTCTGGCACATTGGATCCAGCTCAGTCAGCTCTATCACCAACCTAACTGAACTTATTTTGTTAACCACATTACGTTTTGTATGTATTTTCTGATACACTTAGCACACACAAACTTCCTTGGCCAAAAGAGCAAGCTTTCGAGAGAGGAGGTGGTATACTGTATACCCTGGCATTTCTTCAAAATTTAGCTATTTTTTATTATGCCATTGTTCAAGTGTAACAGTTAAATATGAAGTACATCTGTGTTCTTGGGCAATCTGTTGGCCCGCTGGTGAATAACCAAACAACATTGTCCAATAAGCAAGTTGTTGCAGTGAGCACAAATAACAAGTCAACAACTCTTAATTTAGTGAGTTCTCTTTGCTACAGAAGATGCTCTGGTTGGAGTCGGTGACAAGGCAATTTCTTTGACTCCAGAAGTTGCAGATGCTCTGTTCACAGGATACCCAATGCAGTTCCCACAGGAATGCCACTGTAGGTCTAGGTTCAGCTGGTGTCCATTTTCTCAGTTGCTTTAGCTGATTTCTCTTGTGATTTCTTGTTGGCTTGCTCTGAAACAACTGATAGGATTGAGAAAAAGTTTACAATGTAATTTTTCTGATTACGTTATTTTTTACTTTAAATTTCACTAAAGAATAATGTTACACGATTCAAAAACTATATCAAATGCTTGATTAAATTTGGTGTTTCATCATAAGATCTTCAAAAGTTTGGCTCTACATCATCTGTACCACTAATAACACTACTTGGTTTGCAGATATACTGTATGATATTTGACGAGTTTAACTCAACAGTAAATTGTCTCCTGAAATTACTTCAGACAATAATCAATAACTTTTCTTTTTAAAAAATAAATGATAAAACTTAAGCAAACAATTCAATGATCTGATGATAATATAGCTTTTTTTGGAGGGGGCTATTTTGTGAGTTCATTTTTTCCCTTTTTTTCTAGTTTACCTTCCATTGCATTTTCCTCCCTTTGTTGCTTCTTGATCTGTTTCATAATCAGCCTTTTCTTCTTGGCAGACAGTGAAACACTTTTTTGGTTATTGCTGAAACAAGAAATCAAGTTTAATATAAGAAAAAATATTAATTATACTTTAAGAAGACTGCAATTCCAGTTTCAGAAATTGATTGGAAAAGCAGCCATTGACAATGAAATTAGGCCCTCTTGGTGATTTGTTGACTATCTACCATCTTATATACACTACATACTTCACATGGTACTTTACTGTATAATTAGGGTATTGAGACATAATTCTTTATGATGAGGCGTATACATTGTTGCATGTGAAAGTTAATAGCCTGTCTGCCGACATTTTTTTCTTTTTTCTTTCCGAGGAATTTGACATACACAGTCAATAAATCCCCTACAATTCTAATTTTTCATATGTGCAATCAACGATAGTGAAAGAGAAAATAGTGGCTGTGAAGGGCTTTTTCAAAGTTTTACTGCATAACAAAGGTGTGTTCTTTTACAGAAAGGATAAATTTGAGCTTTTAAAGCTGCAAACAGGGTATTCATTTTGCTTTGGTCTGAGAGAAAGAAGATGCAGTGGATAAGGGGTCTCCCATAGAATTCCAGCTGTTGCTGGTCTCCACCAAAAAGTTCTGCAGAGGTAAGTAACAACCAGAAATACGGTGCATTCGATCACAGGTTACATCTCTCCTTGCTTACCCCTGTTTTAATCCTTTACTCTTCTGTTGCTGCTTCTTTTTCTGAGCTTTTCGAACTCTTGAAAGCTTGTTGAGGTTTTTCTGAAGAGCCTGTCATTTATAAAAAAATTCCACACATACTTAGTTTTAGCTAAGTGCAATTTCTTTCAAGTTAGAAGGAACATTTATGGAACATTTAAGCAATAGGAAACGTTTTCCGTGTTTGCATAGCCTGATATAAACTCGAGAGATTGGGAGAATTCTCGACAGTTATGTAAAACCTCGACTTCGTCTCGGGTTTGCATAACTGTCTCGAATTCTCCCAACCCCTCTCGTGTTTATATCAGGCTATGCAAACACAGGAAAAAACGTAAACTCTTTGTTACAATCCTGAGAAATTCTTACCAGTTGCAAAGTCTTATACACGAAGTCTTGCATGCGTAATCAGTTCTTGTTTTGCAAAAAGATGCTTTCCAAAATAAGGATTTTTCTCGCTTAAAATGTCTGCTTAAGCGAAAAAAAATTGACACACCTTCTTTGTAACGATTTTCCAAGTTTCAGCCAACGAAGAAATGGGTAAATAAAGTAAACTTGTCGTGTTTTGAACTTGAAAACTTTTTCAAATTTGTGCTTGCATGATTAGCACGCAAAAAGCAAAACATCTTGACGCCACAACCATGTTTACATACTCTCATGCAAACACTCCTCTTGGCCAATCAGAGTGCGCATACTATCTTAGCTATTTTATAATTACACAATGGTGACTTCAACATGCCTTCCCCCCACTCCCCACCTCCCCTTACAAGTTCATCCCTGCAATTTTCTTATTGAAGTGGACAGGGGTGGGGGTGGGCAGGAATTTTACAACTGTGACGGTGAAGAATTTGACACCATATGGGAGGGTCTTACTTCCATATTAGTTATACACCTAACCTTCAGGGGTAGGGTCATTTAATGGACTCTCACTTCCTTTGGTAGAGCATCTCAACACCACTTTAATTTTGGCCTGGGAGATTAGGGCAACTCAAAGTAACCGTGGGGCGGGGGAAGGGGGGATGTTGAAGTTCGAGTTGACCGATGCATTATGAAACTGTCAATGAACAGAAAACACGTGCCAGTCGATTTCTACCTTTCGCTCGACTGGTAAATGACGCCCGTTAGACAGGCTGCAGAAACACGTGGGTTGCCAACTCACAGCGACACAACTGAGAATACATTTCATTGTTATCCACGTTAATTGCCAATCAAATGCATCGTACCAAACAAGAACTGTTTGAAGATGTACACGTACCGTTTTTGGACGATTTAGAGTGTTGCCTCCTGTCATTTTGGCCCAATAAACGAACAAGTCCAATCTTAATTTTCGATGATCCGAGATCCGATTGATTGCAGTGATTCTTAAGACAACGAGCCTGCAAGTCTGCAGCTGTAAACGCGGAAACCAATTTTACGTCATATAACCGACGCAAGATGCCATCCTTTCCGAATCTCTCCAGGAAGATGTGGATTACGAAAGTTAGTTTTGTAAATCGATGCTTTTAAGAGCGGCCAGACCAGTATTCGTTGCCTTGGATGCAATAAGAAATTGCAGTTCACGTGGAAGACCTCTAAAAAGAAACTGTAGCTTCATCATCTTGTTGTGTCGTCGAGAATTTTCTGCAACAAGGGGAGTTTGTCAATCGAATATGGAAAGCCCTTCTAAAGCTCCTGCCCTCGTGGCAGTTTGTCAGATGAACTCAACCAACGACGTGGATCGAAATCTGGGGATTTGTGAGGATCTTGTGCGGAAAGCTAAGTCAAGAGGAGCTAAGGTTAGATTCCTATGTTCGCACATGAGGAAGGCCATTTTGTATTCAATTCTTAGACCCATAATTCAACCTTTGCAGTCACCCATGCGCCCCCCCCCCCACCCCTCCATTTCCTTAAAAAAAGGCAATCCCATCTTTTTGCTCGCGAACGTTGAGGCCATCTGCACGAAAGAGGCATAAAATGCCAACTTTTGCATACATGACTCTTGGTTTTTCTTTTGGTGCTTTTGCACTAGTGACACGCACCTTACCCTCCCCTCCCCCCACTATCCATCTCACTAGAGTATTTTGAGAGGGATGTTATTCCTTTACATGCCATCAGCCACCATTTTCCAAGGTTCACAACAGATTACATTATGTTAAACCTATTTAAAAACAGCTTTAATTTATTTTATAGCTCTTTTAATTCAGCACTGCTTGTGAGATCATCATCATCATCATCATCATCATCATCGTCATCGTCATTGTCATCATCATCATCATCATCATCATCATACTATTATTATTATTATCATTATTTGGGTGGATATTGGGTGATTTTAAGGTAATCCTTAATAGGGACAATATCAGGATCATGAAAAACATATATCATACATCATCCTTTGCAGGTTGTTTTTCTCCCTGAATGCTTTGACTATGTAGGTGAAAACCGTGAACAAACACTTTCCATGGCTGCTCCATTGGAAAGTACAAGAATGCAAGGCATGCGTGACTTAGCTAAGGAACTCGGAGTGTGGCTGTCTCTGGGAGGATATCACGAAAAGGTTTCCCTTAATTTGTTCTTTGTCCTCTTAGTCTTAGTACAATGGAGGTCAAAAGTGTTGGAACCTTTCCAGTGAGATAAGACAAACTAGCAACCCCTCCCCTCCCACCCCAAGCAATTTTGAATTTTGGATGAAGGGATGAACAGAGTCAGAGTCCTATGTAACATTAACTTGGGTTTTTTTCGCACATTCCCAAATTCCTTTGGTCTCCATGGAGATTTCAAGGATAGGATAGTTGATGAGCTCAAGATAATGGGCAAACCCCCTTTTATATTTATTAGCTTTTAATTTAGAAGCTAGCCGAACTTAGCCATGGAGACATGCATTGCCAAGCATTTAACTCCACAAACTCTGGATCTGGAGGTGCGGGGTTCAAGTCTCGCCCGTCGTATTGTTTCCTTAGACAAGGAACTCTACTCCACTTTGCCTCCCGTCCCTCAGGTGTATGACATACATGTATTGCTGGGGGGTAACACTGCAATGGACTAGCATCCCATCCAGGGGGGAGTAGAAATACTCCTACAGTCGGCGACAAAATGAGTTGAGACACTTCACCCAAAAGTAGGCTTTTTTACATTTTATGAACTTCAAAAGGAGGAAATATAGCTTTCCTCCCCCATCCCCTCCGTGCAATGTTGGGCCCTTGTTCTAGCTACCTATAGAAAACAACAAACACCCCAACTTTGAATGGAGGGGACAGGGGAGGGGTGTGGATTCTTTTGTTCTCCGAAGTCACCCTATTTAAGTACAATGTCTCAACAATTTTGTTGCCAATTGTAGGCATGCTTCATGGTAATGAAACCAGGATAAGCTCTGGCTGTTTAAGCCTTTGGCTCCTGTGCGTTTCTACCTTCACCTAACTTAGCCTGATCTAAGAACTGTTTTATCTAGTTTAGCAGTACAGGATACCAATACGTGTACTCCTCTACTTGGTAAATACATGAACATGGAGAAAGTTGGGGTTATGTAGAGTTTTTTGTTTTAGAAAAGAGGCAGATCCAGAACAATCATAAGCAGGGGGGCTGTGAAGCCTTCGATAGATCCCTCCACACTCCTTACTTAAAAACTAAAGTTCATATTATTACTGACTAAAGAATCCTAGTTAAGACTCTGGAAGAAACTTTTATAATTTAAGAGAGTCTAATTAATGAAAAGCGACAATGACTCCAGTCAAATGGGGGCAGTGCCCCTAATTGGTAAATCCGCCCATGGGATCAAACAATTTGATAGTTCAGTAGATCTACTTTCTCCTCCACATTTCTAAGGCAATGTGTATATATATGATTATGTCCAAAACTTTGTTATTAATGTCAATACATACAGGGCCCTGCGGATGATAAACGAGTGCACAATTCGCATGTGTTGGTTGATGATCATGGTTCCATAGCAGCTGTTTACCGCAAGATTCACTTGTTTGATATTGATGTTAAGGATGGGCCTCAGCTCAAAGAGAGTGATGGTACTATTCCTGGTGACCAGATAGTTCCTCCTGTCCCTACTCCTGTGGGAAATGTTGGACTTGCTATTGTATCCTTGCTGGGTCATGGGGGCATAAAATAACCATTGACTATGAGAAAAATGTGCTTTGTGTCATACAACTCGTCAACTAGCATAAGGCCTTATCACCCCTATAGAATAATTATTATTGTTCATGTGAGATTTTCTTCAACTTTAATGAATTGCAAAAACTATACAGCTTCCATCTTGTTATGCACGTGCACAGTGGGCCATGTGTGATGGAAAAATGGGAATGTCCCAGTTGAAAAAATCTTTAGTTCAACTGTAGATGCATCTCTGTCTCTATTGAAACTTCTTTCAGTGGGCTAAGCCCTTCCCCTGGGGGCAGGGGTACTCCCTGTAATGGCCTATATGGGGAGGCTCCGCCCAAAAGGGGTACCTTTTTCAGGTTCCAGGTATATGAAAGGGTAGGGATTTCACTTGTTAACGTATGTGAAAGGGTAGAGAAGTCTGGCATTTCAGTCTTAAAAAGCCTAAAAGGGCTAACAGATGCATATTATGGCTTTGAAAAAGTCAAGAAAACGTTGTAACCCAGTTCTGATTTTGTGATTATTCACATTTTTAAGACATTGCATTTATAGCATTTTAATGGGATCAAAGTTCTTAACTACGTATGTGAAAAGGGTACCAATTGTCAATAGAAGGTATGGTGGAACCTGGATATAACAAAGCTCTATACTGTATCTTAATGAAGTCCTCAGTATAACAAACAATATTATGTGTCCCAGTAGTAGTAAAATATATGGAAAACAACCTCGATTTAACGAAGCCGTGTTGTAGCGAACAGATCATTCCAGCCCCTTGGCCCTTTATTACAACGAGGTTCCACTTTAGACAAAAGGGGTACATTTTCTGTCAAAAATAGTATATGAAAGAGTAAGTTGGATCTCGCAGTGGAGTCCCCCATATAAAACTTTTTTGAGTACCCCATCTCCCTGGGCCCTTTCATCAGAGAGGACACATAATAGTAAATACAACACCCACTATGCCAGGACACAAATTATTTAGTCTGCATTTTGTAGAGTTAGGGGTATGATGTGACCCCCACATGCCAGCTGTTGCCATCCAGGCCCCAGTTGTTCATAAGGTGGAAAAAGCTATTCAGCGGATAAATCTCTACCCAGTGAATATTGCAATTGGCTTCCCTAACACTAATCTGCTGAACAGTGATTTATCTGATTGATTGCAGTATCTAACATTTGAACAATAGGGGCCTTAAGATGTGGCCATTATGTGGAGGTTTCAGTAACAGCGAATTTCATAGTCAGCAATGTTGCGAGTGTCAATCATATCTAGGTCTCAAGTGACAGGTCTGGCTGCAACACAGGGTATCCATGAAGGGGCTTTTCAAGAATTGTGCTGGTTTACAGAGTGTAACATTTTGCTCCATGTAAGGGAATCCGGATTCTGGAATCCGAGAAATTTTTGCTTGTGGAATCTGGAATCTGGAAATTTTTACTAGTGGAATGCGGAATCCTGGGCTTTGGAATCCGACATACAGCTCAAAGAATCCGGAATCCCACAAAAAATAATTGGTACCCGGAATCCAAGTTCCACTGACAGAGAATCCCGAATCCATGACGTGGAATCCGGAATCGAAGACTCCCTTGGATTCCCTTACTTGGGGAAAACACTTTTTCTTTATTTATTGTCGCATCCTTGACTTTCTTAATGTGATTTGTAAAGTGCTACGATGTTCGTTTCCCAGAGTTGTCCACCATCTTAGCACAACAGGGAGCCCACATACTTACTTACCCATCGGCATTTACACAGATTACTGGATCAGCACATTGGGAGGTTTGTTTTACTTGTGAACATAGCATTTTGTAGATACAGGTGTGTGCTTGTTCAGAGGATTTAGTGTCGTTTCGTACTACGACTCGTTTAGCAAGCGTCTTAAGTCGTTTCGCTAACGTGCTAGGTCAGTTCCCCAATTTCTTTAACCTTATCAATGCCGTAAAGAACGAGTTATACACACGTGTATCGGACTTTTACGTATCATGGCTGAAAGAACGAGGTTTATACATGTATGTGTTATGCTCGTTTCGTTTCGTGAGCGAAACGATTAAGACGTTAGCGAGCATGAAAAGTTCATGACAAAATGAGCAGACCCAAAAAAGAGTTTTAGATAATGGTATTCTTTTGATTTCAAAATATTTGTTTCCAGGTTTTATTAAGAAGTCGTGCCATAGAAAACCAGTGTTATGTGATAGCTGCAGCACAAACAGGACAACATAATACCAAACGAAGATCGTACGGCCATGCTATGGTAAGAAACACGCTTGTTTGTTGAAACAGTACGTAAGAGTAAAACAGGCGATGCAGACAAGCATGTATCCTAGAATAGCATTTCAGAACCGTAAACCGCGGCTAAGTATAGAGATCTATTGAGAGTTGTCCGATATACCCGCATTGTAACAGTCCGTGTAATCCATGGAAAACTTAATCTTCGCATTTTGGGTGATCGCTTAGGAGAAGTTCGCTTTTGATCCTCGCATTAACTATGGGATTAGATTGCAAACGTAATTGTATCGCTATACAATTTTTGCGTCTCAAGCCGTCACAGTAACACATCTTCAGATTGTTTTTTGATGTTTTTTGTTGTTATCCAACTGTAGGTCGTGGATCCATGGGGCTGCATGATTGCTCAGTGCCGGGAGGGGAATGATGTGTGCGTTGCAGAAATAGACCTGGATTATTTGAACAAAGTTCGACAACAGATGCCTGTCATGAAACACAAGAGAGACGATCTGTATGGAAAGTTGAATTCCTCACCGAAACTCTGACAAGATTTTATTAACAAGCAAGTAGTCGATCTCCCGAAGGCCAGGGGAACGGAGGGGAGGTTATAATCCCATTCGACTGTTTCAACAGCGTGCGCTCTTATTGGCTGGTTCTAGGTGACATAACGCCTGACGATGACACTGTTTTCCTCCATAAGTTTCTTAGAAGGTAACAGCGCTTTCTAACTCGCGCCGTGTTGACTTCTATATTAGTTTTTTTTCATGCCTTGATTGATCTCTCTGAAAAGAAAACTAGTGCCTTTTATTTTCCAGAATCCCAATTTTGTCCCCACTTAATTTTTCCCGAAAACAAATTTAAACCTCTCACTCGGGACCAACTGTTTAGTGTCAGAATTAATCCACATCCATTTACCTTATCTTAGATTACAGTAAAAATGAAACTTTAGAATTCATTAACTACGATACACCAATAGTTTCTCGCGCATGCGCACAGCTATATTGGCCTATAAGTGCCAAGGTGAACAGCTGTTTCGGCCATATTAGGCCTTCTCGGCATGAACCAAAACACGGCATTTGGCGGAGGCTAGCTACCGCTGCGTGAGGACGACATAGTGTATTTCTCTCGCTGGATTTTGGTTCTCATTCTCATCACCGTAACGAGTCACCCGCTGGCAGAGGCCTCTTTGGAACGCAACGAGAAGATTACACTCGGGAATTGTCCACCTTTTATTTCTCATAGTGCACGTATCTATATTACCAAAAGTTGATAGTCACATTTTTAAGTCTTCCAATAACTGTCCAGCAGATACGCTCATTTTCTCCATGAAAGTACAATTAAAAGTCTTGTAAAACAACCCTTTAGTCAAGTGTACTAAACATACTGTGTTCTGTAAACTGCCAGACAGGGGTAGCTTTGATACCCATCGACTTTCTCGAGCGTTTACTATTAGTGAGCCGGGGAAAACTCCATTTTCGATGTTCGCTGTTTTGACAATTCAATTTCACTTTAAGATATGCATGGTCGAGAAGGGGTAACTGTTGAGGAAACACAGTTACAATTTGCCATTTACTAAACGAGTAAAACACAGGGTACGATTTGCGACCATAAAGCTTCTTTGGATCGTTTAGGGGGACAGCATGAAGTTCAACAAACAGTTCCCATTTGCAGATCTCCCATAATACACCCTGTTTGCTCCCCCAACATTTTCCATCATCATTGTCTTGGTACGACTGTGATACCCAGGAGAAATTAAAAGCAAAGGCTATGCAAAATTTTGGAGGGCAAACAAGGTTTATTATGGGAGATGTGCAAATGGCGAATGGGGCACTTCAAGTGCTGTGTTCCAAACTGCAAATACAACTTATCTTCACTATTACAGAATTCCTAAAGACCTTGAAGCACCGGGTATGTATTCTTCAGCCACAATACCCTTGAGAGCGTCTTTAACAGGTTGCTTGCTGCTGTCCACCATGCGTTTTGCTGTCCCTCCAAACGATCCCTATAGTCCTTGCGATCATCAGTCGTACCTGCTTCCCTCGTTTAGAACATAGCTAATTTGTATGTCAGGTATATTGAATGATAAACACGGTATTTGCGTCTGTTTTAATAAATGAACTTTTAAAAGATTCTTTCGCAATATTCGTTTATTGTTCACTTCTACGAATGTTTTGTATGAAAATATTATAATGAATTCCATTTTGTACGGTTTCTCCCGCTATCACCTCTAAGAATACTTTTTATAATAATATTATAATGCCTCCCGTTTCACCATTTATGTTAAATAACACGGGAGACATAATTGCTTTAAATATTCCAATAATTCACAATTTATCCCTGGATCAAAGAATCCAAAGTCAATTTCTAACTTGTATCACAACAGAAGCATCTGATTACACTTAAAATATCTATTATGCCACTTTTGAAAAAGCGATGTTTTAGATATATCTTCATTTGAATGTCCCTTTGGTAACCAAATACACATACATTTCCAATGCTATACTACTACATGAGAAATTTCTGCAATTTGATTGGCTTAGAGCAGTGGTATTTCAGCTTAATTTGAAATACCTACATGCGAAAATTACAAAACCTTTGCAGGTAGTAGTATAAACAATTATAGCATGATTTGTACGTAATGTTTGGCATAAATACCACTCGTGATATTTCAAAATTGTCTCAAGTTTCACTCGCCTAACGGCTCGTGAAATTACGTACTTCGAAATATCACTCGTGGTATTTATGCCAAATATCACTACAAATCATGCTATTACCTATACTAATGTTCTTATATGGATAGATATCTAATCGTAAAATAACACCCAGGTCGCACCGGACCTGCATGCACATCACCTTCCACTACGTTGTTACTTGACTAACAGTTGGCTTATTTCATTTTTTTAAACAAACGAATTGTGAAAGTTTGCTTGCAAAAACGAAACTAATCCCAAATTATTTGGTTATCATTTCATTGCATTTCACATTTTAACTTGACACTCTTAACGATTTAAGGCTCAAAAGAAGTTGAATTTAACTAAGTACTAAGTCCTATTCCAAAGTACAGTTTCTCTTAGCCGAGTGGAATTGTAACATCAGAGTTCTCCGCAACATGGGGTCAAGAAGCAGTACAAACTTTTGACCGGCGTACGTTAAATCCCCTTCAGATGCATCTTGGGAAGCCAACTGCTCCAACGCCTGAGCCCGCGCATCTCGAAGAAACTGTCTCAAGCGGTCTGAATCACCACTGTCATGCACCCCATCATCCCCCTCCTCTCCTTCCTTAGTGATCACTGATTGGTGGACAATAGACACGCTTCTATTATCTTCCTCGTTTGCTTGCAAGTCAACATCCCGGATGAAGAGGGTTTGTTGGATGGCGTCAACCGCTGAGCCCACGATAAAGAGCGTGTCTCTTGTCAGCAGTATTGTCCCTTCATAGTCATGCCCAGATGACGTTACAACTGTGACGTCCAAATGGAGTAGCAGATCGACATCTCTCTGATGATGAAGCATTTTCCTGTAAACGAACAGTGTCTGGCATTAAAAAAGTATCCTTCAAAATAGACCACTTGGTGGGCTTCGTACCCTAGCCTTCGAGTAAATGTGAGGCTGAGGTTGACCTTGTCTTGATACAAACCTCCTTGACGTTGTTATGAAGATTATGTTTGAAAGATACCACTTAGCATAGAAACAACATGATTTACGTGAGGAAGAAGGCAGGAAGGACTAAATCAAAGCAAGGTCAACTCTAACCTCGTTTGTATCTTTAACTGTAAAATGGTCCATTATTTCTTATTTATTTCTTGGAGGGCAAGTTTCATTGTTCGACAATGACGTTATTTGGCTTTCAAGAAGAGCAAATTATCCGAGTGTCCTATACATTGTACTACCGAATAGACCTTCTTGTCTTGTTAGCAGGTTTAAAGCCCGTTTTAACTCGTGAACAAGGTCAATTAACATAAGATAAAAGATTGATAATAAAGACAAAAAGGTCTTTTATCGCCAATCCATAAACTACAAAGATAATGGGTACAAGCGTTCTGTTCAAGGATTACTGAGATCGTTTGGGTGGACAATATAAGCAATGACTTCAACCCATGTAAGGTAATTCGGATTCCGGAGTCCGGAAAATTTTTGCTTGTAGAATCCGGAATGGGTGAAATTTTGATTGTGGAATCCGGAATCCTGGGCTTTGGAATCCGGAATACAGCGTAAGGAATCCAAAATCCCACTAACGATTCGAATCCAGAATCCAAGTTCCACTGACACGAATCCGGAATCCAGTACTGGAATCCGGAATCCACAGCGTGAAATCCAGAATCCAAGACAGTCCTGGATTCCCTTTCATGGGGGGAAATGACTGGTCAATGGTTGCCTTGAGATAACATTTGGTACCGCTAATCATTGCTAACGCTTTTCCACACAAACAATGCCACCCTGTATTTTATAGAGTGGCGAATTCCGTTAGAGTTCTGTTTGAAGTAGAAGGAACTGATTTTCAGAGGATTAATTAATTTCTTATTCAAATGCTTGAGAATATCTAAATCGTTATTAGCATTTGCTCTCGACCCTTTCGAACGTGAGCAGACGACAACAGACATCATATGATTTAAATATAATGAACTACGCAAGAATTGAGAGCAGTACCAGAAGTATTTTAAATGGCTGTTTTTAGCGAAGTACTGCAGTCTTTCCCCAGGTGTGAACACACGGCTTGGCAGTTGAGTCAGTCCCGCTCCTTGGAGTATCCCTTGACCTGTCTGAGAAACAAGTTCCATGGCGCCACCTAAAGGCTTAGTAACCACGCCTAGAAGACCTTTCCCCACTCCTGTAATAATACCGCTGGCTGCCTCTCGCACATCACTGGCTCGCCTTATCCCCTGAATGGGCTGATCTACGACACCGGCGACGGCGCCAAGAAGACTGAGGCCGAATCCTCCCAGGCCTTGGGATAATCCTAAATGAAAACGCATTTGGTTACTTAAAAACAACAAAGCGCGCACCTTTTCCTAATTTTTGGCAATGCTCAGGTGTTTAAAACGAAAGGAAAGATGTTTGCGTTGTTGGAAAAGGGAGAACTCCTCCTTGATAGATATCACAAGCGTGATATATTGAAGTCTTCCCAACCGGAGCATTATAAGCGGGCTTACGCGTTTGTGTAAACTTTTGGGATTTGCCCAGCTTGCGTGTGGCAATAAACTCTAATTTACTGGTTTGTGTAGTTAGAATTTTGAAGCGAATAACTCTGGAACTTATCAACTAACATTACGACCACTGTACCAAAAGTTAGCGCACTAAGGTGTTCGGGCCTTGGAGAAGGTATTCTCCCAGGCCCGCACCGTCAATACATTTCGTGATGTAACCGAGCGAAGCCACCCATACGAAACGAATTGACCAGGCTACGAAAATTTTAAAGCCTGGAAACTAGGCTGTTTGATTCTTTTGTACGTTGGAAATGCTGCATTCATCAATTTTACCTGTCAAGACTTTCTTTGGCTTCCTACATCTCTGCTCCTCCAACAGCTTGAGATATTCTCCATCCATA